CCAATGTTACTTAGAGTGATATTTGATTTACCTGCACAGGTGCATAAGAGAGAGAATTGATGAACAGGCTGAACACAAATATCTTCAATTACTGATACATTTGACATGCTGCAACATGTTTTATATGAGTAAATCTAATTTTCTAATTCATGAGATTGGGAATAGAAGAGTTGTACTACATATCTGCTTGAAGATGAAATAAGAGCATCTGCCTAAAACACTTAGATCACACACACACACACACACACACACACCTCCTCTTCCTTCCTCACAATACACCGTCTTGACAGAAGAGGTCACTCTTGACCCAGAAAAAAGCACACCACAGATCACAAAGAGTATTTTTCAACTCTATGTGTTGCAATAAAATGGATTGATTTAACAGAAACAAAGATAAATTTATGATTGTGAGTCATGATTGAAAGCTGCTTCACACATCTGTTGCACATATGAAACAGCGCATTCCATTGAAAATGAAACTTTGTAAAGAACCAATTGTTTCAATTAGACATCTGAGGTTTAATTTGACACAATGTAAATTTTTCATATGAGCACAATTTTCTGTATTTTCATACTGGTTTTATAATTGATGCTAAAACATAATTGGCCAACGACCTGCCCTCTTACAGGAGGGAAGCATGTGGAGCAGTGAGGCCGTCCAGGGACCCCCCACTTAGCCAATGAAATCACGCAGATCAACCCTAGCAGTCAGTGGGATGGCAGACGTCGCAGCCAGATCACCCGCACGTTCATAAAATACAATCGTAACGTCCCGTTCATTTTACGGCTAAAAACATTAAAATTTTAAAGTGAATTATCTTTTCAGTTAAGACTTTAAAATGAAAACAATATGATAACATTCCCTTATCTACAGAAGACACAAATTACACAAATTATCCAAGACCTCAAGTGACTTTCGTTATGAATAGCAGTGAATCCTACATATACTGCATTTTTGTTTATATATGGCACTTATGAATAAGTCATCTTATAAACACAGTATTTTTCATATACATACATGAAAATTTACAAACTGGCATAGTGATATTTTTAAACAATGACTATTAACAAAATAATTTTTTAAAAAAATAAATAAGGCTTTTCATAATAAAGTTTTCTAAAACTCATGGGGCCTGGGCATATAGCCTAGCAGTTTAAACACCTATTAATATGCAAACATACCACATTGAAGGACCTGGGTTTGATTCCTGGTCCCAGTTTCTAACTCAAGCTTGTTGCTAACACAGACTCTGGGAGACAAAAATGATGACGCAAGATGTTGGATTCCTGCAATCACGGGCAGCTATGGGTGGGATTCCTGATTTCAGCTTCACTGTGGGCATTTGAGGAGTCAGCCATCATCTATGAGAGCCAATTCAACTGGCCGGCTGCTTCACTTCCGCACCCTGTTTATAGTTTTGGGGGAAAAGTGGAAGACGGCCCCCGATTGTGGATCCCTGCACCCAAGTGGGAGACCAGGAAGAAGTTTTTACCGTTTGTTTTAATATTGTAAAGATTGTTTTTAAAGCTGCTCAAGTTTGCATAAGCTTTGGAGTTGAAATGCCAATTTCTACCACCTTGGATCAGAAGACTTTGTGGAAATCAAGTAGATTTGAGGCTACATATGTAAGAAAATCTTGCCACCCATGGCATTTAGGACTTTGGTCTTGTGTTTTTTTCATGCTCAGTAATTCTTGATCGATTGTTCTTCCAAAACACAGACCCTAGTCTATCAATATCAAAGAATTCTGACGAATTTCTTTGCCACAGAGTGAGGCTGAAATCAGGAACCCCACCCATAGCTGCCTGTGGTTGCTGCAGGTGGCAACTTAAATGCTGTGCTAAAACATCAGTCCTAACTCCTCTCTTGTTAACCTACATAGATTTTCAATGGTTCCTAGAAGATCAGGGTGCCGGTTTGTAACCAGGAAGACATAAGATAGCTCCCACGGGGAAAAGCTTTTTCAGCAAATGAAAATTGTATAACGAGTGACGGTGCAGAAAAGACTGAAGAATTTCCTAAAGAGCCAAATAAGGTGACCCATATACATAATGAAGGAAAATTACAAATGTTTTAGTTGCCCATGAGGCTTTTTAATATAACAAAAATAAGCATGATACTGAATATTTACATATGGGGTTCAGCTCTTCTCAGAGCTGGGCGTTTCAGTGCATTATGATAATCACATTTTCCACTGTTTCTTAGAATATGTTAAAAGGAGCACCAAGGAGAATCAAGGTTACGAGACGTCCTGTTTCAAGACAGAAATTTTCACTTCAATTCTTATATCTTCAGAATTTTTGAAAACAGACTCATTCACTGGGCAATGCATTCAATATTGTCACAAAATATGAATATTATGATAGTTATCTCAGGCACAGTTTCCGATACATAACTGATCTGTTCATACACAATGATGTTTTATTTTAAAGACAAAGCAGAGAAGTTTAAGATTATCATTTTTATAAGGAAATGGAGAGTCCTTTGAGCTGGAGTGCATGAGTTCAGATTCTCAGAGATGCTACTTGTGTAAGAAACTTTTGACTGAAGAAACAGAAAGGAAAATGGCACCTAAATGCTAGCTCTACTCACACAAAAGACAAGGCTCAGGTGTTCAAGGGCTGAATGGTGTTTCTGAGGAAGCAGAGTCTTGGAGAAATGCGTATTGTTGCTTGTTGGGAATGATTGATCAACTGATTTACCCCTGACACACCCATGCATGAGACTTGGATGGAGTCCTGGTTCCTGGATTTAGCTTGGCTCTGCCATGACTGTTGTGTTTGAGTAAAAATCCAGTGCATGGAAGAATTCTCTCTCTCTCTCCCCAGCACGCACACATGCACACACACACACACACACACACACACACACACACACTTTTTCTCTTTTTCTCTGCCTTTCAAAAAGAACAAAAGAAGAAGGAAAGAAGGAAGGAAGGAAGGCCTGTTTTTATGGAATTTAAAATCAATTCCTAGTTTTTACTTAAAAAATATTTCTTGGCATGAACTTCTTAAAGACCAAATATATGAACTTTAATAAAACATTTTTGTGGGGAACTATTCGTGAGAAAAGCCAGTCTCTGGGGAGTGACTAGGTAAGGCATGCTGGAAGAGAATATACTTGGAGGGAAGAGAAATAAAGAGCTGTGTGCCACAGATGTAGGATCATGCACATGGACATTGATGTTGAAGGAGAAATAGGGTAAGACTCCCAGTATGCCCATACATGAAACATGAGAGTTCCTAGGGAGACACAAGCAAAGGACAAAGATCAAAACTACACTTTACTGGGACTCCTAAACAAATGGGAGAGGTTTAAAGAGAATGCTATGAATACTGCTATCCTGAATCACCGGATAGAAATTAACACATCATACCTGAAAATGCATGGCTTCATTCTATAACCTTATTGCCATTGAACTGTTTTTAAATTATAACATAAAATTATAATTATAAAATTATAAAATAAAATTACTAATTATCCTGTATCGTACCATACTACGTTTGTCTGACAATGCTACAAATTTTTTCTTCTCTTTTTATTGTTATGATTATTTTTCATGATGCAATTTTATAGATGTAGGAATTTCCCCCTTTCCGTCTCCTTTCTCCCTCTCCAATTCCTCACCATCACCATTTTCTGCCATATTATTACGGTAGTATAGTCCTTTGCTAACTGTATCTGGTTGAAGTGAATCTTGCTGTTGAAGTGCATCATGGGAAAGAATAAAAAATCTAGTGTCATATTTGCTTTTCTCCACTTTCGTGATACTGTTCTTTCATGTAACTGCCAATGCTTCTTGCAAGCTTGTTCTTTTTTTCTTGTTTCAACAAAATTGATAGAAATACATAATGACACATATAAATAATATGCTATGAAATAAAATGGTTACACACAGGATGGCTTCACTTTTGGAAAACAAAAAGTATAATGATACACACAAAAAACTGGAAGGGTATAAGATTATCAACAGATTTTACTTCTGTTTAGTGATCAAATACTCTTTGTTTTGCTCTTGTACATTGCTTTGCAAAATGATTATTTCTTAAACAAAACAAAGCCTTGCTGAAATAGCTAGTAAGTACCAGAATCAAGAAGCTAAATCAATAGATCGGTGAAACCCAGGGCAGGTACAGCCAGAGTGAGTGGCCAAGCCCAGAGGTGACTCATTACTCTGTCCTTACCCTGGCTGCTGTGTACTGGACTGCTCTGTATACAGCTGACTCTGTCCGCGTATTTAATGGGACTATACGTGTTAGCTGAAAGAATAACAGGATGACCCCAGCAACCTTGGTTTTGCATTGTCACAAAATGTAACTGTTCTGTACTCATTTAGAGTACACAAAAGAGAAACGAAGCACTCCTACAACAAGCTTAACTGACCACAACACTGACTGTTGTTTTCAATTTTCAATGCCAATTTATTTTTTTGTGCCCTAGACTGGAAAAAGTAATTCTTCTCACAAGCAGCTTGGCATGATTGCAGGCTGAGCACTGGGTGAGGGCTTGGGTTTAGGTGCCCTGCTAGCTGGTCTTGTCTTCCAAGTATTCTGCAGGCTTGGAAAGGTTGACCAAAATCCAATCCACATCCAATGAACATTCAGTTTCTTAAAAACATATATATATATATTTGTAAGTCATCAAAAGAACAGCACAATAGATGCGTTTTTATGTAAATAAGACCACCAATCTCAACCTTGCATCTTTTGTCATTCTCCTACTTCAATATCCAACATCTCATGCTGCTAATTACAAACACTACTGAGAACGATTTAAAATTTTAAAATCATGACGACAACCAAGTCATGCCATGCTTAATCTAAGGTGTTTTCTGCATGATGCCTCAGAGTTATTACTTGACATTTTCTGGTTCGTTTTCTATTAAAAGATGTACAAGTTTGGCATAGTTGCGAAGCTTGTGGCATATTAAGGCAGCATTTTTACTCCCTGATAGGTTTTTGTGGGGTAAGTCAAGTACAACTCAGCAGTTACACGACAACTTCCTTTGTTGTTTGTCACATTCTCTGATTCACAAAATATCGCATTTTTTTTTAAATTTTAGCCAAAAGTCTTGGTAGATGTTCTTAGCACATAGTATCAGTTGATCAGTTGTATGATCTTGTTATTCCAATGTGACAAGGATCTCCTACAGAAAACTCAGATTCTGCAACTAGGTAAGTAACCATTTTTTCATTATTTGCCTCTTTCGAGTAGTTAATACTATCTGTTGTTTTTGGATATTAATTCAAGCCACACCTCAGAGGTATTAAATGGTTGACTGAAGTGGAAACATTTTCTGTAAATATGTAATACGCTTTGATTTAATAAGGTAGTGAGAGTAGTGAGTCCAGTTATTACATTGGGTTCTTTTGTCTTAAAATGTTCTTGTGCTTTGGATTTCAAACTGGTTAGCCTCTTCTCTCAGATTAACTTATTAAATAAACAATAACTTTCTCATCATTTTCAAATGTAGATTTCTTACATATATCATCTGATTTTAAGTACTTGATGAAAATTGCTTTCCAGAAAGATGGTGCTAGTTTATAGATTATCCAGATATACAGGTAAATAATTCCTATTTTCCTTTCCTACATACTGTCCACCTCAGTGCAACCACACTTCTCAGAACAAAAATGCCTAGCAATAAGCAAGATGGAAGTAAAATGAACAAGCAAACAGTAACATACAGTAGTTTAAAATTTCCTAAATCTCAACGGACGCAGAGAATATCCAGCAACACAGATGCTGTCATGTCAAGCATGGAGCAGGTCCATTATGCCGACCTGAAAGTTCACAAAACATCCAATCTCCAGGAAATAAAATGCCTTACAAGGGGTAATAAAAGAGGTACAGTAATATGATTTGTTATAATTAGCTCTTGATTCTTTGGTTTAACATATTACCCTTCTCAAAAGCGTTATATACTGCTGTGTTAATTATCTTTACGGCATATTTCTTAGCCGCATTTCAACAGACTATGGTGGAATGGAATACCTCAAATAGTCTGCTTATTCCCTCCAAATGTGTGCTAGCTTCACAGCAAAAATAGGTTATAGAAAAATATTTAGGAATATTTCAGAGGTGAGTTTCATGATTAACGAGGGAAAAGATGTAAAGGTGAGAGATGAGTAAAATATTGTAGCAAAGCTTAAGTGCTTGAACTAAGTGGTAATTGTGCCCATGGTTAGAAAAAATGGACTATCAACACAAATAAAGCCAGTGAAAAACAGAACATATATAACATTAGAATGTCTCTTGATAGATCAGGGGAGAGGCTGACGGTGCTGGCAGAGGTTAGGAAAAGACTCCTGTGAAAATTAAGGTTGCAAACTGAGACTGCTGGAGTGGAAAGCTGATCAGTGGGCAGAGAACAACCTGCGAAAGGTATCTGTGAGTACATAGCCAGAAAAAAGTAGCAAATAGAATATTCCAGGCGAGGAAGAATGGCCAAGTAACAAGCAAGCAGAAAAACATCCTTGTATTTATCCACCTCCACTCCTCCCTTCATTCTGAATTCCATGAAAACAAGAAGCTTGCTGATGCTCCAGGTGTAAGGCCTCGTACGCTCAGGCTTCAAGAAGTTATAAACTCCAGATTTTTCTCTAAACATCAGAGAGCCATCTCCAGGCCTAGGGTGTCTAGGTGAAAACACACCAAGCATACACATCTTTGGTAAAATCAATTGGTTAACAAGTGAATGCTGTAGATCATAAGCCATTTAGCAACTCACAACATCACAAATCAATCAACATCCATTCATTCTTTTTTAAAGACTCATTTACTTTAATTGCAAAGTCAGGTATACAGAGAGGAGGAGAGACAGAGAGGAAGATCTTCCATCCACTGATTCACTCCCCAAGCGGCCACAGCAGCCAGAGCTACACCGATCCAAAGCCAGGAACCCAAAGTCTCCTCTGGGTCTCCCACATGGGTGCATGGTCCCAAGGCTTTGGGCCACCCTCTACTGCTTTCCCAGGCCACAAGCAGGGAGCTGGGTGGGAAGCAGGGCTTCTGGGATTAGAACTGGCGCCCATATAGGATCCCGGTGCGCACAAGCCAAAGACTTTAGCTGCTAGACTACCACAGCTGATTTTTTTTTTTTTTTGCACAAAATTTTCTTTTCTGTATGTGTGCATAAGTTGCTTCATGATTGTCCAAAGTTAATAAATTGTAAAACAGAAAAGTTTTATAACTATAAGATGTTGGGGAAATTGTCTCAGATGACAAATGAAAATGCTTTAAGAATTTAATGGAAAATCAATTTAGTTTATTTTAATGAAAACTATGAAATCTATGCTAACGGAACATTTTAAAGGCTCCTAGAAATGTGTCTTGAGAAACTAATCATAGATTTCCATTTTTGTACAAAAGTAAACTTATCTTTTAGCTTGATTTTTCCATAAATTCAAAAATGTGCTATAGTATCCTGGACTTCAATTTGGATGGGAGAAGTGAGAAAATTTGATGATTAAAGAACCGGGGTTCTCTGTGTGCCTGAGAAGTAGCTAAAGTCAAGAAGAACATTTCAAGGATTTGGAAACCCAAGGCTGTTCTCTGAAAGTGGGGTGGCATGGTCTACAACCCTGTGTTTGCTGACCTCTGGGAAGTGATCCAACCCAACCATTCTTTCCTTTGTGTTATTCTCAGAGCCCCAGTCTGCAGCATGGCCTGTGATAACCGGTGTCCTGGGCATCTTATGCATGACCTTGCTTGCAACACTGGGTGTTTTGCTTGCAAACTGTAAGTTATTAAGAAAATAGCTTGCTTTTATTATAACCAGCACATGAGCAACATAATGTGTGCATGTGTGTTGTGTATACCGAATGACTCTATGCAGACTGGTTTTCTTTGTTTTAATAATTGCATCTGAAATAAAACTAAGCATTGCCATGTTTCTTCTCAGTTTTTCCGAGCAAAGAAGAGCAAAGCAGAGAAATCGCACTTACTCCTATCCCATCTTATAAAAATGATGGTGAGTATTCATTCTTTGCAGGCCACTTGAAATGCTTGAAATTTAGTCAAAGATGATGGCTTCATCAAATTCGCAGATCTTCAGTGAATCATGTGAACAAACGTAGTTTTATCATATATTCAAACTATTTTCAGGTAAAAATACTTACATGGTTGAAAGAATATGAAAATATCTAGATAAATATAAGCATTATCATCTGAATTTATTGTTCTTGGGAGAAATTAGGATACAGATATCTTAAATGCCATTTATTTATTATTTATTATCATCTATTACTATACAATATATAATATATTGCATTATATATCATATATCTCATACTATACAATAATATAATATATGATTTGATATTGATTGTACTAATTTGTAATATTATTTTATTAATTACATAATCATATGTTACATTAACTTTAATATATATTATTGTACATGATTATGTAATAATGTAATGATATATTACATAATATAGTGAGATTATTATTATTTATTCTTCTTGGGAGACATTAGGATTCAAATATTTTAAATGCAAGAATTTTTTAATGTTTTTAGTTAACAAGTTTGAAAATAAAAATCAGTGAAGCAGAAAATTGATCATGGGGAAAAGTAAATTAAAATCTCAAGGAGTTTATCCTCCATATTTACTAAACAGTTAAAATCTGAAAGGTCGATTACACCTATGGTAAGGAGGTGAGAGAAGTGCTCCCGGCACACACTCATCCACTCCACACAGGTATTTAACCAGAGAAATGGAAACACATGTCTGTAACAGACTTGCACACAAATTCTTGCACAATCCGTTCTCAGTATCACAACATGAACAACTGATCAATTATCTTTTCATCATATAATGAAATGTTACTCTGCAATAAATTGGGATGAAATACACACAAACCAATTGAAACCATACCAAGTGAAGAAAGTCAGTTGCAACGAGTTCCATTATTGAAGCATTAGGCTTATACAAGCTGGTTAAAAAGACAGGAAATAATCTATGGTGATATAAATTTGACCTTCATTTGCTTCAAATGGAATAGTGGTGGGCATTTGGGAAGTGACAAGTGGTTGGAAGAACTCTCTCTCTCTCTGTCTCTCAGTTGTCTTCTCTCTCCCTCCGTCACTCTTCCTGCAGTGTAAATAAATATACATCGTATCTAGCTTAGAAAAATTATCTAGCTTAAAGAAACATCAAGTTAGATGTCAAATACTAAAGTGTATGTGGGGGGAAAGTCAGAATCATACTTAGCTGAAATAAGAATCTGATTATTATGTGTTAATATATTCAAATATTGGAAGTACAGGATAAAGAATAAAACCTAGCTGGTTTGCAAGTACACAAAGGAATCAAAAAAAAAAAAAGGAACTGGCGATATACAGAACACTAATGCAGGAAATCACAGATTTTAGAAAAGGACCAAACTATCTGTGGCCTGGTGTTATAAAAATATCAAGGCTAAGGTGAGAACTAACCTGCAGATGTTGTGTTTGGCAAAGGAAAATGCAAACCAGTGAGAAAAGGAGGTGAGCAGACTGCAAAAACTGAAGTAACAGCAAGAATGTGCTATGGTTCTGGTTGTTAATTTTCCAGTGAGCAGTTAAGAAAGAGAAAACAATGAAACACTACCAATCACTTTTTTTTTCTTTACTCCAGATTGAAATAGGCTGCAAGGAGAAATCATGAATTTGAGTAATCCAAGAATGATAGGGGGAGAATAGGCACGGTTGAGAGACAGGAAAATAGAATCGTTTTCTGCAGAAAGAAGTAATGTTAACTGTGTTTGGTTGACAAGAATTAGCTAAAAATTAGAAAATACTGAAATTGTATATATTGATTAAATAGTTGGACTACAAATATTAAGAAAATTTAACGAACTTTATCCTGAAATTATTTGTAATCAAAAGTCCTCATCAGATTTGAAACAATTCATTAATGGTTTTTGTTCACATGGTTGTATATTATTCAGCCATTTAGATGTACACGCATAATTTTAATCATGTCAAACATGTTTATATCACTTTGAAGGTGTCTTCTTTATATGTATAACTTTGTAACAAACTTTTAAAAGTTCAATTATTGAAAGGCAAAGTGGTAAAGAGAGGAAAAAGCAAAGAGTTTGGTCTTTCGTTCACTCCCTAAGTGACCACGATAGCCAGGGAAAGGCCAGGCTGAAGCCAGGAGCGCAGAGCTGAGTCTGAATCTATCAAGTGGGTGCCAGGGTCCCAAGCATTTGGGCAGCACACATCACCTTCCCAGCTACATCAACAGGGAATTGGATCAAAAGCAGACCAGCCAGGACTTCAAGCAGCACTGTGCTACGGGATGATATCTATGACATTAGCAGTGACTAAATGTGCTGTGTCATAAGCCAGTCCCAGCGATTTTGATATAGAAAATTTGGAAATTTATTTATTAAAATTAAAAATAATTAGTAGGGGCCACTGTGATGGCATAGCAAACTAATTCTGCATCCTGTATGGGAGCTCTTTTAAATTCAGGCTGCTCCACTTGCAATCCAGCTCCCTGCTTATGGCCTAGGAAAGCAGTGGAGGATGGACTAAGGTCTTGGGTGCCTGAGCTCATGTCAGATTCTTAGAAGAAGTACCTGGCTTGCAGTTTCAGACCAGTCCAGCCCTGGCTCTTTCAGCCATTTGGGGAGGGAAACAGCAGATGAAAGATATCTATCTATCCATCTATCTATTTACCTCTATCTCTCTTTTTGCTTTTTATCTCTCTCTTTACCTCCATCTCACACTAGGTGACTATAATTTTCAAATAAATCTTTTTTAAAAAAAACAACTTCTTACTTTAAAAACAATCAGTAACTATGGGTTCTGTAGATTGTTCAGAAATGTTAAAGATGCTTGAATGTTCATTCTAATATCATTCACATTACAAACAACATACACTTAATAATAGTTATTCCTACTATAGTGTGTGTGTTTAATATGTTTGCATTTTCTAGCCTTCTCCTGTGATCTGTCTTCAAACAACTGGATTGGGTTCAGAAATAGTTACTATCATTTTTCTCAGAAATATAAAACCTGGCCAGAAAGCCATGCTGCCTGTGTAGAACTGAATGCCCATCTTCTGATGCTAGACAGCGAAGAAGAGAAGGTAGGTCAGGCCTTCGACCTCTCTGTTATCTACAACTGCATTTGGTTTGGAAGCATTGGTGATGGACATCATGACTCGGCAAATTTTGAATGCTCTCAGAAATGTACACCATGCTCTCACTTTGACTTATCCTTCTTCTATTATTAGAATATTTAATTCTACAAGGAAACCCAAATTAACAAATGGGATATCTTGATGTGTCTGAGTGGGAGCCCTAGGGATTTCTTTCATTTTAACTCATGAGTCGGGAAGAAATAGATTACAGACTTTGTGCATTTTCTGGCTCATAAATGCATTCCCACAGGAAATATTATCACTGCTTCGAATGAATGGATGGATAGATCTGAAATGGGATGAAACCAGTGGGTGCTGGTTCCAGAAAGATGGCACGCAAGTCAACGAAAGCGGGTAAGGACAGTGTTTGGATAACAGCTTTTCTGAGGGAATATGGATGGTGCAGGAGTTACCAGTGTAAGCCACAGAAAGCGCAATCAAGAAAAAGGAAAGAAACCATTGTATATGAGGACTAGCATATGGAAAATACTAGCAAGCAATGCTCAAGTCATTCTAAATCATATCACCCTAGGACGTTTATGTATTTACATACTTAACTGCACTGGACTCTTAAGAGATATGTTTGCATAGCTTTAGATAAATTTATAAAGTTGCTAGTGTGATCATCTGTCATTTCATTCATAATTTTCTTTTTAAGGAACACAATAGGGGTAAACATTGACGCTTTCTGCTTAGTGTTTTGTTGTTCAAGGGCATCAATCTCCAGACTACATCATTTTGTTTCTGTTTCAATTTGTCATTTTTAAGGGGGGCCTGGCGGAGTGCTTGTTTGTTCTTGTTAATTTGAACAATTAGATAAAATTGGCTTTTAAAGATACCGCATCTTGATTTTTCAATACCAGTGTTGTTATTGCCTTTACACAGACTAGTACCTCTGGAAAAGGACGACTATTGTGGATATACGGAAGGAAAACTCATTTACAGTGATAACTGCTCATCCAGAAAAAGCTATGTATGTGAGTGTAACATACTCATCTAGTAGCCTCTATTGGATCAAATATATTAAGGAAAACAATAATATAGATAGTCACCCACTGACTTTTATCTAAACAGTGTAAATGGAAAGAGAGTGGAAGATCTTTAAGGTTTGGAAAAAATAAATTGTAAAAAAAAAAAAAAAAGCTATCAAGTCAATTGATGTCTGTTCCCACATGTTAGGGAAGCAATGACAATGTTTTGTTGAAAAACCACCCAGTTTAAGGTATTTTAATAGCCAAAGCTAAAATCCAGAGGAAGGATAATACAATCTACAACTGACATGTTGGTAAGCTCTTGGTGCAAACAACATGAGAATTTAAATTCAAGAAGGTCCAGTCCTACATATTGCCCACACTTTTTTTTTTAATTTACTTATTTTTATTTGAAACGCAGATTTATAAAGGAGAGACAAAGAGAGCAAGAAGATCTTCCATTCATTGGTTCACTCCCCAAATGGACACAATGGTCAGAGCTGAACAGATCCGAAGGTAGATGCCTCCTCCAGGTCTCCCACAGGGGTAGGAGTACAGGGACCCAAGAACTGGAGCCATCCCCTGGCTTCTGGCTTAAGGCATGCCTTGATCCAGCTGTTACTTATATTTGAACAGGGACCAGTGAATGAAAGATTTCTCTCTCTCTCTCTCTCTCTTTTTCTGTGTGTGTGTCCCCTTCTCTCTATATATATATAACTCTACCTTTCAAATAAACGATCTTTAAGGAAGGAAGGGAATAAGAAAAAAAAAGGAAGAAAAAACAACAATTAGATAAAACTACATAGTAGAATCACTCAAACTTTTGCAAATTGATTGGAAAGAATGTGATGATAACTGGCACTGTTACGTACTGCAGGAAAAAAATGTAAAATGGCACAACTAATTGGAAAGTTAGCAGGGTTCTGAAAAAGTCAAAGAGGCCCCTACCATAGACTCAGCCATTCCCATCTTATGTATTTGCACCCCAGAACAAACAAAATAAGAAATAAGCTTATTCTAAAAATTGGAAATAACTCAAATGTGCACCAGCAGATGAGTGGATAAACAAATGATGTTTCCCTACAGCCCAGAATACTATTCCACAACAAATTACCATAAACTATTAATACCCAACAGCACAGACAAATGCTAGTAATCAGAGTAAGTAAAATCCAAGAAAGATAGTAAAGCAGCAGTCACAGCAGATCAGAAATTACCTGGGGAGGGAGAAAGGAACAGGACTGAACGGAGTGGATTACAAGTGTATAGGCCGATTTCGGAGGTGATAAATGCATTGGCTCTCATCAGTGTGGTAATGCTTTCTCAGGAACATACGACAATCAAAACTGTTCAAAATACACATTCTGTGTGAAGCTTCGTCTTTGTCTATTATACAACATCAAAGCTCAGTTTAACAGTATGTCTGTTCAGAGGGAGCTGAAGATACAGTGTTAGTAGAGTCCAGAGTCACGCTGTTTGATTGGTCCCAAAGTTCTCCTGATTTCATTTAGAAGTTCTTAAGCATTATATTTTTGTTGTTGTTGTTTTCTGTCTCACTGGTCTATTTTTTTCTCCTTGCTTCAATATTACTTAGGAACTCAAGTATAAATTATTAAAGATTATGAAAAATAAAAACACCCAATTTGCTTCTTGCTTTCTTTATTATGAATTTATTTACTTTTACTTAATTGAAGGTTATGTAAACAGAGAAATGCGGGAAGAGAAACACAGAGATCTTCCATCTACTGGTTCATTCCCCAAACACTGTCACAGGTGGAGCATTGTCAATTGCAATGCTCTTGGCATTCTCAACGCCAAGAACCTAGGACTCAGTCTGGGTCCCTAACGTGTGGCAGGGACGCAGGGACTTCACTCAACACATGCTGCTACCAAAAATGCACATTTGCAGAAAACCAGCATTGGAAACAGAGGTGGGACTTGAACCTAGGAACTTCAATGCAGGATCTAGGCATCCCAAGATGTGTTTCAAACACCCATCCATCCCCCATGTTCTCCTATCTAGGTTTTAAGTGTATTCTAGATTTATTTTATTTTACTGTGTAGAAAATGCATTGAATTGACTCACCCCTTCCCCATGATGTCTCATAGATAATAATCCTTTATGAATGAATACAGTTGACCGATTTGGGTCAACTCACTAAGTGGCTGTATTCACTAATAGTCAAGCAGGGATGAAAACATTAACACATTGATGTCAGTAGTTATTTTTGTCAACATGGCTTCTAATAATCTTTTTTTTAAGATTGATTTATTTATTTTGGCAAAAACAGCATGAAAAGAGCTATTGATCTTACAATTTGCTTGAATGTTGTCTTATATCAGACAGAACATATGATATTTGTCCATTTGGCTTTGACTTATTTCACTGAGCATAATGGTGTCTCATAGGTTTTGATATTTTTGTTCTTATTTTCATTTATTCAAAATAGTTTCTTTTCTCTTATTAAATTCTTCACTGACTCATAAATCGTACAGATGCATCATGTTCTCCAAGAAGTTTTTCATTTCTTCAGCAACACATTGGTTATAACAAGTAGCATGTTATTTAACTACATGGTGTTGTAAAAATTTTTAACTTTATTCCTGTTGTTGGTTTTGTTTTATGGCTTTTTATATATAATAACTGTATAATAAAGACTATCATATCCAGATGTGAAGATACAATGCAGTATATATCTCTACTTCTTAATCAAAGATGGGCTTCCAATAAAACTGTTAAATATATCTTGACAATAAGATGCTGGACTGTCTGCCATTGACTGTACCAGCAATGTCAAGGAAACACTTAAATAGCACAGTGATGGGCTTATAAGTGCTTATGAAAGACTATATTATTGCAATAACATATGGGGAAACCAGTGGGGGGTGGGAAGGAATTTTAGGAGTAGGTAAGGAAATCCTAGAGCCTAAGGAATTGTATCATAAAATTTTAAAAAGTATTAATAATAATAAAATTCTTAAAGATTTATTTATTTCTATTTGAAAAGCCAATTTACAAAAAGAGAAGAGACACACAGAGAGAAAGAGAGAGAGATAGAGAGATCTTCCATCTACTGGTTCATTCCCCAGATGGCCCAGTAGCCAGAGCTGGACTGGTCCAAATCTCGGAATTTGGAGCTTCTTTCGGGTCTCCCTATGGGTACACGGAACCAAGGAATTGGATCATCCTCTGCTGCATTGACAGACACATTAGCAAGAAGCTGGATTGGAAGTGTAGAAGACAAACTTCAACTTGGTACTGTGTGGGGGTTTCAGCAGCTCGAGCAAAACCTAGCCTACTATGGAACAATGTCAGCCACTCTAATATTCTTTTAGTAATTGTGACAAGAATTTCTTGCACCATCAGCATTATTAATATTTACTGTCAAAAATATGTCAGAGAACATATTTTCAAAAGTCCTTTCTTGAACAACATGTTATTGCCACAATTTAAAAATGTGTGGGTATTCAGTGAACACAAAAAGCCTGTGATATTTGTGTGGGCGTTACATCAATTGGACAGCCACGGCAATGAAAGATTAGAGACAGCGATAGAAAGGGCACAGTGGGCAGGATGTAGATGGGCACATTGGGGAAATTCTTGAGACCTCTGAACGTACCAGGGGGCGATGACTAAGTGTGAGACACCTATGATCTGACGTTGAAACTAAATATAAAAACTGCTCCCCCATTTCCTGTGACCCAGATTACCATGCTGGCAACAGAGGACCGCTGTGTCCACTTCATGGAGGTGACGTGCGTTTCACAACCAAAGGACACCTGTTTCCTCTAAGTTGATATCCACAAAACAGTGCATCAATGTTTTGTGAAACTCAAGCATGAGAACAGCAACAGGTGTTTTAAATTCTATTACTAGACTCTGTAATAATGGGAATTTCCATCAGATGCATGAGTTGAATTGATAATAATAATATCAGTAACAAAAGTTATGGTTGCCTCAGTGATGTCCTTTGTTGAGTATTCTATTATCTAAGATGTCCTTGCCTGATTAACCTCGTTTCTCTTCTAGTCATTTGTTAACAACTGCCCTCCTGGCCACAATATTTTAAGCATCTCACTGTCCCAGGCTGCAGCCTTTGCTTTCCTCTGAAGAAGCCCTAAAATTAAATGCCCATTCATTCATAAAGTCATTAAAGAATAACTTTAGATAAATAAACTATGTTTTCTAGGAATGCAATAAATTTGGAATTATTTAGGAACTGGTGAATAACAAGTGAGGAGTAAACAGATTCAAGCACTTGTAAATTGTGTCTAGATTTCCACATCTTTTGTTTGCACATCTCATTACTTTGTTCACTCACTTCTTATAAGTAGAAGGGTGTATTTGTATTATTTTCATAAAATAAATACTAACCAAGCAAATGTAAGGGATTTAACTAATTCTTCCTAGGACACTACTAAAAATGAATTCAATGATTAAATTGATCATTAGAAATCCACAGAACCAGTTTGAATTTATAATCCTAAATTTTCTGAGTGACAGAGAATCTGATTTGGCTAAGAGAAGCTTTTTCTCTCATACAGAGTTATAGTCAACTTGCATTGGTGAAGACTAAGGCACCATCACATAGGTTCATGCAAAATACATTATAAAAATTATTGAAATGCATTTTATATAGTTTAACTAGAGCCCCACTTGATAAGGGAATGGACTGCTGTACAACCTGATTTTCATGTATTAGTGTTAGTATAGTCCTTCAAGAGCAGTCATAACTCCATCATTCTGCTGTTTCAGTGTATCCTGAAAATTTCTTTATTTTACTAAACACTATTATCATCTTAATGAAAGGATTTGTATTTATTTATTTATTTTGAAAGAAAAAGAGAACGAGACCCCCCATCTCCTGATTCACCAAAACAAATGTGTGTCCAGGACAGAATTATTTATATCCTTACTCATGAAACACTCAATATTTTTTTGAGAACTGTTGTTCATTTAGTTATACAATGTGCTACTCAAAATTACAGCTAGGATTTAACTGTTACAATTAAATATGTATTTGTTTCATTCCATTCCTGGCTGTTGCTTCTTCTCAAAATGTCAATATCAAACTAAACTCTAGGGTAATTGCACAATAGAGGCACTTTGCATATATTTACTGCATTTTGTGTATTTATTTATGTATTTTGACCATAAAAAATATCTTACTGTACTTAGAAGCAAGGTGATGTGTGGTACTTACACCTTGTGAGTTCATAATGTTTTGTTGAGATTCATTAGAATGTATTATATGCATAGTAGTACATTTCTTCAGTCTGCTAGGTGAATGTTATTTTGTGATTATCAGGCTGCGTAGTCATTCACTCTTCCATTCATGATCGTTGGTCGATTTTCAGATGTCTGATACTGTGATCAGCAATGCCATGAACATTCCAGGAAACTATACATTGCTGGGTACAATATTTCACTCAGATACAGAATTACGACTAGAATTGTCCTGTCTGGCTTTAAAAGACAACACCAAAGTATTTCCCAAGTATGATACCAGCTTATACTTTCCTTAAAGTTGATAGTAAACATGGTAGTTCCGTGTATTTTCAGTACGTGGTAACATTTTTGTGTAGCTCTAATTTTAAAACTTATTTCCTGTATATGCTACTTCTCCTAATTTAAAACATTTTCATTTATCTGAAAGGGAGGCATTTGGGTCACCTCCCAAATGCCTACAACAACTAGGATTGGCAAAGTCCATTACACAAGCAGGGTCTATTGCATTGGTGGAAGAACACAAGTGCTTGAACCATTACCCACTACCCAAGGCACACACTAGCAGGAAGCTTAATTCAATGAAGAATAGTCAGGACTTGAACCAGGCATTCTATTATGGCTTGTGGACATGCCAAGGAGCACCTTGACCATTGATCAAAGGCCTGTTCTATCTAATCTTTTTTGTGTTTATTTGAGAAACACACAGAAAGAGGTACAAACACAGAAAAGGAGAGTAAGTGAGAGTATAGAGGGAGTTTCCTTTTCCTGGGTCACTCCCTAAATGCTTACTGAGAAAGTGGGGATGGAGGACTCAATCCAGGTGTCTCATGTGGGTGGCAGGCACCAAGCTACCTGAGCCATCACTGCTGTCTGCTAGAGTGTGCGTTAGCAGGAAGTTGGAATCAGAAGCCGGAGCAGGTGGTTGAATGAAGGAGTCCGGTGATGTGAACATCCTAACACAAATGTAACCACCTCAGATCCTGGCACCTTACCCAGCATCGTTACCGACAGGCTAGATTGTTTGTCCATCCTTTCTATTGTTTGAATTAATGTTATGTTACTCTATCTACTCTAGAAAATATCCTCACTGATATCTCCCTCACTGGATTTTATGAGCGCCCCTTTAGCCGTATTAGCCGATCAATACTATTTTTAACCATTGATTACCATTCATCTACTTTCCATGATGCCATATGATTTTGATTTCCTTCCTGTTTCTCTCACAAAAGCATCCTTTTTAACTATGCATTCTTCTGTGTGCTTCTAAATGTTGGATTCTCCTAAGGTTCATTCACCACATCTCTTCTCGTATAATATAGTATGTTCTGTCTAGTTTTATAAGACTCTCCATATCGTGGCTTTCTTTTCACATCGTGTTTGCAAATACTGATTATATTAATTGATACATCAAAGTTTAGATCTGTATTCCAAATATGTTCTAACCCCCCTTATTTCTTATTTTACCACATACATGATGTTTTAGGTTTCCCACCAAAGATTCGTCTGGGGACAAGAGAGATTTGATCATCTTACATGATACTTCACAAACACCTGAACCTTCACTATTATAAACATTTAAAAAATAGTTTCTATTTAAAAATTTATTTATTTAAATTGGAAAGGCAGATCATACTAACAGAGAGGAGGAGAGACAGAAAGATTTTCCATATACTGTTTCATTCCCCAACTGGCATCAGCCAGAGCTGAGCCAGTCTGAAGCCAGAAGCCAGTAATTTCGTCGTGCTTGGAATGGCGAGACTAGCAGCAATTCAGAACTGTTGAACTATCAAAACCACTTGAGCAGGACGCTCAGAACATGCCCCGCATCAGGGACCTGGGATGGATCGGAGGTTGGGTGGGGCTTCTCCCTTTTTCTCCCCCTTTGCCCCAGATACAGAAAAAAAAAAAAGCAATAAATAAATAAATAAAATGCAGAAATCCCAAGACTTGAGAAGACAAGCTTAGTAATGGTGGCTTTTGTGCTAGCTACAAAAAATAAATAAATAAATAAATAAGAAATCTGAACATTTTTTAGTGTAAATAGGGAGAAGTATCATTTATCTGTCAGTTGTTTTCCTGTAATTTTTAGTAGTTTTCCATAACAGAAATGCCACTATAAAGCTATAGCAAAGGAAATATATAATACTGAGAGTATGCAACCTGGTGTAAAAGCATGACTTAAACATTGGAGATACTCTTGGCAAGACTAAAAGTGGCAATCTTTGATACTGGGATGAAATCAGATTAACTGAATGAATGGTCAAGTTGTCCAGAAGCACTTGGAAATTAAAATACTAACTAGCACATGTAGAGGTCCCATCTGTCCCCCCCATGAGAGCTGAAAGTCTCCTATATTCTGGAGGTGTGTGAGGAAATCATTTCAAAGGAGCCCAAATGTGAGAATTTCCTGTTCGAGCCTTAGGTGACACACTTAGATGAGAAATCATGTTTTTTCCATTCTTGACTCACTCTGAGCCTTGACGGAGCCTTGACAGACATTGCTGGTTCTTGCCTGAGATTTATGTCTTGAAATTTCACCTTTTATTACTCAGCTATGGCTGCCCTTCTGAAGGAGGCACGACTCTGTGGCAACAGCAGGTATGTGGAGCTGCTCTCATCTCTACTAGGGAAAGGAAGATTATGAATGCCAAATGCGATGCAGCCAAGGTACTACTCAATGCGTAGTAAAATACAAGTAGAACACTGATATATTTACTTAATAATTCAAGATAAAAACTTTAAAAATACACTGGAAAATGTATTCAAATATTCAAATCACTACCTATGGGGAATGAGCCAAATGCATCCCTACACATTTGAATTTGTTAATATAATTTAAGCTGAAATAAATTGACCTCATGGCAACATTTTAAAGTCATAATCAATATAACATGTCTTTGAAAATATCTTAATTACTATTTAACCCAGTTATTATAAATGAATTCAAGTAATTTCACTGTATTAAAAAGGACATGTAGGGTTCAGGGGACGCTTCTTCAATTAACAGCTAACGTCTCATAAGAAGCAAAATGAGACATTAAATATAAATTTAACTCTAGCAAAAAATACAAATTAGAAAGTTTAACATATCAATTGCAACTACAATAATAATTTAAAATAGTTAACATCTATTGGGAGCTACGAGTAAAAGTGTGAGTGGTTTTTAAGCTAATATTTAATAAATTCTTAGTGCACTTTTGGATGGGCAAACTAGATTATTAGATACCAAAAAAACTAATTCTCGAGTGACTACAGAGCCCACCAACTTAATCATTAAATCACATTATCTGAATTATTACAAGGATGCAGCTAAAATGACCCTCAATGATTTAGGGAGACACAGCAGCTTTCACTAAGTTCCAACCTACCGTTTTCTTCAATGTATGGCTTACATTTCTGTTTGTGAACCTGCAGTTTTCTCTGTTAGCCATTAAGTCATCTGTCATTTATTCGGATGTGACATTTGATTTTTTCACTATTTCAACATTGTTTAGGCTATGCATCAGTGAACTGTGTTTTCTCATATTCATTTAAATGTAAAATATACTTAAATTTGTAACTTCTCATAGTAACTCAATATTTCATGATAAAAGATCATTTAATAATGCCTAACCCATTTAGCGAATAACTGTAAGGCTCTTAATAAAAATAATATTATGTTAGAAATTAATATATATAACAATGATTTCAATGCTCATGTTTAGAACACAGTCTTTAAGCATTCTTGGATTTTAAAATTATAATAAAATAGATACTTTTTTCAACACAACATATATTTAAATATTGGTATTTTGATGATGCTAAAATATTTCTAACAATGTCAAAAATAAAATACATTAAAAATATATGTAATGTTTTAGTGCAAACAGACCTTATTCATGGTCATCTTTATTTCTCCTTCATTTGTTTTTCCTGGGCTCCACATAATAAATATTTTTAAATACATGGAGCTGTCAATGTCGGACACTTGTGTGATGGTCTAAGAAAAGTTTCAGGTTCCTCCACTGCTAAATGAGCACCAGTTCTCACTCCCCGCCCAGCGTGGCTTGCCTCTCTGAGGATCTACGCATCTCGTAGGTCATTTATTACCGTCTTCCGCAGCTCTCGCAACACAGCACCAGACACCATTCAGCTCCAAAATGAGGAAGGAGAGAGTGGTCTACGCAGAGCTGAATGTGTCCAAGGGCTCAAAGCAGCAGCAAAAAAGACCCCAGGCCTCTGAAAGCTCCACTTCAGCAACTGAAGAGGGAATAATCTACCTGGATTTAAACCTTTCTGGTGCTTCCCGGGAAAATCCGGGGAACGGAAAAGGCAGACATTGCAAAGGTAACTTCAGCTGATCCTCTATCTACGTAATTGTCTGAAATGTGCAGTTGTGGAAATATGGAGAAGGAGTAGGGGATTTGTGAGTGAATATTCTCATTTGTGAAGACCAGAATGTAGGGCAGGTGAGTTTGGCTAGCATGAAATCTGATGACTAATGTTATTCAGATCTGCTCTAACGTGTCGTTTTGTCTGAGAACTCTCTCCATGGAAAGCACAATGGCACAGATGACAATGGTGGATGTGGGTTTGGAAGTCCAGTTTATCTGCATCATTCACGATGCAGGTAGATTGTCCTTCATACCGTCCTTCTGTCTCCATTTTCCCGCGTCAGTGTTTCCATGTCTCTCCTTGTAGACTCAGCCTCCTCTCCAGAGAAGCTCATTTCTAAGATCCTGGGAATCATCTGCTTTGTCCTATCCATCATGATCGCACTCACAGCTACAGGTGCCATTCCCTGTATGTACATTTTTGTCACATTTGAAATGAATTTTCTACTTTTGTGATCAACAGTACTTTTGTGCAAAAAGATCAGGGGATGAAGTGTTCATTAATATTAAGGGTAGTTCAGTAATTCAACTGAAAAATGGAATTAAAAATAAGTTTACTTGGGTTCCAAAAATGTTGCAATACATGGAAGGGTTTTTTTTTTTTTTCGTAATATGCACTTCCCATGAAAATTTTGGGTATCTGCTAGATATATTTTGTCTCAATGTGGAATGCCTATACATGTGTCAAAACATTTAGTTTTTAAATGTATGTATGTAGTCTGATTTTATAATTCAAAGAAGGCTTTAGGAGACTGAAAGATCTTCCTGAGAAATGTATATGGACTTATGTAAGTGGTTCTATCACATGGGTAACTGTAAGAAACAATATTTGACTCTTTCAACACTTTTGAAACAAGTTACCCATGAAACTTCAATACTGTGTTTTCTTTATGCTAATTCTTAGCAATATAAAATTTTGATCTAAACAGCCAAGAGTAATATGGCATATTAATTTTACATTAATTCTTTTCCTAGCTACTGAAACACAGGAACAGAACCATTCTTCTCATATAAGAAGAACTCAGAAAGGTATACGGTTGGTTTCAAAGTTCTGATATTGTAGAGATTATCTTTTGCTTGTAATAAGGCCATGCAAACATGGAGTCATTTTAGGGGAGTAAAACCAGGAAAATGCACATTAGCTGTTACTCAGCACAAATAGCACATTGTTTTCTTTTTTGACCTACAATGAGAAGAATCAGTCATTTGAAATAACTGCACAATAATTTTGCCATTTGAATCAAATTTCCTTCTGCAACATTGTGATAAGAGATGAGCTTAACTATTTGAAAGCCCGTGGTGTGTTCAGTGACTTTTCAGAGCCTGCTGGACTGGATGGTGTCTTTGCTTGCTGTGTGTTAGCAGATCAGTTAGCAGGGAAAGCTGCTGCCTGCTTTCTGTGCCTAAGTGCATCAGTGCTTGCGTTTGGTTCCCATAACCAGCCTGTGGGTGTGCAGATGTGTTATATCCATAGACATTCACATCTAGGTAAGCTCACCTGACTACTCAAAATGCAATAATTCACATTCTTTTTCAGCAAACCATTGTCATCTCTGTCCAAAGGAGTGGTTCAGTTATTCCAACCATTGTTACTACCTTAGCACAGAAAAAAAAACTTGGAGTGAGAGTGTGGCAGCCTGTGCTTCCAAGAACTCAAGTCTGCTTTATATTGACAGCGAGGAAGAAATGGTAAAGTTCTAGATGTTTCATGCATTTTAAACGCTATTTCATGCTACTCAATACGTGTATAATTCATCTACCTTATTGCACATATATGTTTTGGTCTGTCTGACTTTACAATAAGGTATTTCTTTGTATGTCTAGCATTTAATCTTTCCTGTAATACCATGTTTGTATGTACATTTTGTTCCACAAAATAATTTTCCTTTTCAAATTTAACATTCATTAAAAAATTGATTTTGTGTAGGTTAATCACAAAGTGGATGGAAGATGTCATCACAGATCAGATCACACAATACAAGTTTTCAGGCACTAATGGCCTTCTCCCTGAGCACCTGCTCATTGATTATCCTCCATCAGCTATTATCCTGATCTGAAACACCACACATTACCATGGCAGATTTTGTGAATGTTACCTCCACTGCCTCACTCCCCAAATGGCCGCTGATCTGAATCCAGGAGCCAGGAGCTTCTTCTGGATCTCTCAAGTGGCTGCAGGGTCCCAGGGCTTTGAGCCATCCTCTGCTGCTTTCCCAGGCCACAAGCAGGGACCTGGGTAAGAACTGGAGCAGCCAGGATATGAACTGGAGCCCATATGGGATCCTTGCATTCAGGAATTGGAGGATTAGACAATTGAGCCATGCACTGGGCCCACGTCACCTGTATATTTCACTCCTCTATAGCTTACTGATCTTCACTGCTGCATTTTGGACATAGACGCTCTGACATTCCGTTTCTCCCTGATGCTGAGGCCAGTCCATTTTGCCTCTTTCTTTACATCTCTCAGGATTCTCTTGGCTGTGCTCTCGTGGGTTCCAGAGCCTATACATGCATTATCAGGCAGTAACAAAGAGAAATAGGTTTAGATCATGCTGAATCATCCATATCCCACCAACATCAGGATCAATCTTTTTTTTTTTTAATTTACAAGCAACAGTGGGAATGTGCCTAGATTAGGAATGCTGTGGCACCCAGGAACCCACACATTGGCTTCTTTGTCACTTATCTCTTTAGTTGTAATCCCATAATTTCCTTCCAAAACCCACACTCCAAGGAAGACAGTAGAAAAATACATTGACTTGGTGACAGTAACTGGAGACAGGAATGTGTAGGATCTGGAAATTTAGTCATGTCCATGCAATGTTTGTTTCATTAAAATGAATGTCTTTAAACTTACATGAATCAGACTCCTTATGGAAATAAGGAAAAGAATGAAATTGTTAAGTGTAAGTATCTGAGCATTAGTTTTAACTTAAAATGACAAGTATATGTGGAAGCTATTGACAATTATGAAAAACCAGTTTTCAACCATTCTTTGATCAATTCACTGTGTTTTGCACAATTCCGCTCCTATTAAATAGCTAATAACCTGAAGGTAATTATTAACTGAAAGAATAATGAAATTTTTTCAGTGATGTTCTATAATTCTATGTTTCTGATAGAAATTTCTAAACTTGCACTCAGTCTGGTCATGGATCGGTGTCTCTCGTAAAAGCTCTAGAGACTCATGGATGACAACAAATGGCTCAACTTTCAAACTACAGTAAGTTGTTTTGGATGATGCTATATAGGTGAGAAATATATATACATATACATATTTTGCATTTTGTATATATAATGGAAAACTCAAAAAAGAATGAAACACATAAACTTAAGCTGAGTTTTACACAAGAGTCAAAATATTGAAAATTAGTGAAGGAGGCAAGCCTGGTTCAGTGGGTTAACGTGCTGCTTGGGATCTCCCACATCCAGTATTGTAGTGTGTGGTTTGAATGCAGCTTCCTGTTAAAGCATTCTTAAAGACTGCAGCTCCTGGATCAAGTCTTGGGCCCTACCACCCATGTCAGAGTGTGGGAGACTCAAACAGAGTTGCAGGTTCCTAGTTTCAACTTTGAACAGCCCAGGCTCTTCTAGCAAATGACTCTCTCTCTCTCCATTTCTCTCTTTTTCTCTGTCTGCCCCTCTCTATGTTTTCCCCCTCTCTTTGTCTCTGCGCCTTTCAAAGTGAAAATAGTTAAATAGAAATTTAAGTTAGTCAAATCTTGTATAAATTTAAGATGGGCTGCTCGTTTTTAATAATAATCAAATTTCCTCATATTATATGAAAATGTCATTATTCATTTGCTTTTGTTTAAAAGATAGTCCCTATAAAATATGACTGAACTGTGTATTTTCAATCACCACAGAATATCAGAATCATCATACAGTGCACATAACTGTGTTATGTTCTACCAAAATGGCCTTGCATCAAGCAAATGCGGATCTTTAGCGCCATACAGTTGTAAGCATAAGCTTTGGGATTAATGCATCTGACTTTGGAATCTTCCGGGTAATTTCATATTTCGTGAAATGGAATATTACAAAAGTCTTAAAGTTATTTTTGCTATTTGTTGTATTAATGAAATTTATAATAGTTAAATATTTGTTTTAATTGGATAGAAATAGTGTATTTCTATAGTTTAATGGTTTTGTAACTGTTTCAGACTGCGTTTGAGTGATTTGGAATGAATTTTCATTTGGTAATTGTTGATTGTCTTTGCCTGCTTTCCTGCTGGACCAACGTTTTCTTACATTTTTATCGTTAAGCTCTATTTAGCAGAGCCAATAAGCCTTTGACTATCACATATACCAAAATTCATTATCTCTAAAATATAGTACTTAAAATATTAAGTTGTTAATAAGTTTAGTCATTTTAACAATATGGGCTGATATCCTGTTATACTCCTCAACATTATAAGTTATTTTTTGCCTATTTCTTCCAGATTTTATGTTCTTTGTAATGAATTTTGCTGAAATGTCAGTGTTTTACATTCATGCTTTGTCAATGGCATCTTTATTTCAAGTTTGGTTGTGATGTTTGAACTGTAAATAGAAGCATAGTTGAGATGCATGCATTTAGGGGCTGGTTTGACAGACAAACCTAGACTCTCTTGAATTTCTTTTTCCTTATGCAGTTATTCTATTCTACTCAATCACACCTCTTTTTCTTCCTTAGTCAGAGTCAGAGAGAGAGCTCTTTCATCCACTCCTGAACTGCCCAAGCATCCACAACCGCCGAGGATGGTGATTCTGAAGCCAGGACTCAGGAAGCAAAGCAGGGTCTCGCGAGTGGGTGGCAGGGAATCAGGGGCTTGAGCCACACCTGCTGCTTCGGGGCTGTGTTTGCTGACATCACACAGGACATCTTAACCCTGCCTGAAATACAAATACTTACATTCTAAAGCCATGTTCACTGTCTCAAAGAGTTATTATTTTTTTTCATGAACATAAAGAAAGGTAAAATGAACAGTATAGGAAATATTGTCCTCACCTGCTATGTCATGATACATTTAAATAAGAGAATGATGGACCTATAATTGTTGCTTAAAGTCTGTACTATTGCAATGATATTGGGGAAACAGTGGGGTATATTGTTAAGGGGAGGTGGAATGGAAAATCCCTCATTCTATGGAATTGTAGCATGAAAATAAAATTAAAAAATAAACCTATACTGTGCAATATAACGTACTACACAAGCCGACAGAAGGCTGTCGTAAAGCTGCAACGATGTGGGAGACAGGGCCACAAGCACTTGCATCATCATTTGCTGCCTTCCCAGTCTCATTGGCAGGAAGCTGGACTGAAGCAGAGTAACTGGGGCTTGAACCAGCGCTCCAGTGGATGATGCCAGTGTCACAAACAGAGGCTTAACTCACGGCACCACAACATGTAGCATAGCAGGCTGATCCTCTGCCCTGTGGCACCAGCATTCGATAGGAGCACCGGTTCTTCTCCCGGCTGCTCCAGCTCTACGTTGTGGCCTGGGAGATCAGCAGGGGACAATCCAATTCCTTGGAACCCTGCACTCATGTGAGAGACGCAGAAAATTATCCTGGCTTTTAGCTTCAGATAAGTTCAGCTCTGACCATTGTGGTCATTGGAGGAATGTACCAGCACGTGGAAGACCTTCTCTCTATATATGTATCTGCTTCTCTCTCTGTAAAATCTGCCTTTCAAATTAAAAAAAAATTCTTTAAAAAAATGAAGTAATCACAATAATGTACATTTGCTTCTCTCACTCTCCATACGCACTTATATTTGTATATGGAGGTTCCTCAAAAATCAGTAAACAATAAACACCTTTTAATCTATTCTAACCACAATACATTATAACACTCTGTGTGCGTATGTATGGGTGTCTATATTTGTGTATTTTTATGAGAACAAATTTATACTATTTCAGTAATACGTATGCAGCTTGAAATCACTACCCCCAAAATGACAAATCTGTGTTTTCTGTTAGATGTAGTAGTTAATGTAGAATATAAAATCCCGTGGGTTGGAACAGACACCCTGGAATACGATGATTGTTTTCCGCTCATGTGTGCACTCCTGTGGAACTGTGGTCTTTATGCTTCGTACTTGTTGACTGTTATGGTTAGTGGTGCCTTAGCGGTGCCTATAAAGTGGGCTGGAAAATAAAATCTTTCTAAAAAACTACTGTTATTTTCATTAATTTCTACTTTTGTCTTTGTTTCTATTGAAATTATGTAACAGGAAATTTTAATCCTCCTAATGATTACATATAAGGAAAAGCTGATATGTGGCACTGTTTAAATGAAAAAAGCTAGTCAATATTACAGAGATAGTAAATCCAGAAACTTTCAACAGAAAAGAACACTGGTGCATGTTCCATTATTTCACATCTTTAATGAATTATTGTATTCTTTGAATTCCATGTGAGAAAAGGTTATTTAATTTATAAAACATTCATATGCAAGCAGAAATAAAATATTAGTTATAATAAATAGAAATACGAGTACTTACAACATTAAAGTAATTAGATAAATAAATGTTTTATATTTTTAACACTTTGTATTTATTTGAAAATCAGAGACAGAAATACAGCTTCTATCTGCTGGGTCACTCCCCAAACGCCGACAGCACCCAGGACTTAGCCAGGTTAAAGTAGGAGCTTAGATAGTCATCTACACTATGCCACGTGCCTGGTGAGTGATACCCGGAGAGAAACACCATTGGGAAATCACGCTGCGTTTATCTGCCATAATTCCCTGCTCTACCAGGCACAGAACTAAATAACCAGCAGAAAACTCCTTGCTAAAGCTTGTTGCTCAGAAGGGAGAGAGAAGGGAGGGGATGCATGTCCAACATTCTGGTTTCTGTGCGGGATCTGCCGGAGTGGGCTATTAAGGGAACCCTTGTAGGGAGGTTGATTTATCTCTCTCCTAACTGAAAGTTGACTGGGACCTGTTGAGAACCATGCTGGGACAGTGCAGCACCATGGAGCTTGCAAAGACTTCAGGAAACCACAAGAGGGAGCCACAGAGTAAGAGCTCTAAGAACAGGGCACTCCTCTTCACTGGGAATTTACACACAAGGCAACTGACTCTCACTTTCCGAAAAGATTGAGATCTTCAGAATCTCTAGCTGACCTGAATGGAGGAGGTAGCTGGTTTTTCCAATAGCCTAATCTCAGCAAGAACGGCAAGGCCCTCAAAGAGACAGGGTAACACAGCCCAATGATCAGAGGAGGCGGGGGGGAGGGGGGGAAATGCAGAATCCAGCAAATCAAAAGCAGAACTAATAATTCAGTGAGCAGTTAAAAATAATTAACTTACATTTTATTAATAAGCCTAGATGAAAGAGGACACAGATTGAAAACTAAACAAAAATAGGAAACCAATAAATGACCCCAAAAAGCATCCCAAACATCCAACGATGAATCATTATTATCTGTCAAAAATCACACAGAAAGAATCTTAGTAGCGTCATAGGAAAACGCTGGAAAAGAAAACTAACCAAGAATATTTCATCTGGGAAACCTATTGATCAAAATAAAGAACAAATTCGGACTTTCCCGAGAAACGGTAACTGAAAAATATCCCCAGTGCTGAAACTACCACACAAGAAATACTAAAAAGATTTGTTTAACGTGGATGAAAGATACTAGACAGTCATATAAAGGAATGTGAAATATAAACTCAATGAGAAAATTCAAAGTACATACTAATATTAAATAGTATAATGTGATGTAAGTCATTTTAAATTCTTGTATGGAATTAAAAATTAGATTCTAAAAAAAACAACAAAGTTCTGCTAAATGTATTCATTAAACTATATGAGAAAAACTCCTTGGCTTTCATGATTTGAAGGCTTCATGTAAAAGATCTAGTTTCATACACTAGTGCAAATGTGAAATACTGTTATACTTGGATTATAAAATAGGTAATTCATTGTTCATGAGATGTGACATTAAATTATGTGGATGATCACACCTGAATATCCTGTGTGTGCACTTGACTGCTTGCTTATACTTAATAACTTGACTATTTCAAGAACTGAGACTTGCTTTTTTACATTGAATTGTTGAAATCGAGGCAGCAATGCTCCATTTTTTATTTCCTGCATAGTAATTGCATTTCGGCCACAACCTGTGGTGCAGGTGCAGTCTTGCCCTGAGTGACTGCTGGAGAGACAGAGCAATGATAAACTCCTGGGCCACCAGAGTCTCGAAGCTCTTAGCGAGTCCACCTCACACTTCTACGCACATACATGCCATCCCCGAGCATGCCACGTGTCCCTGGGAAGACTCAAGGGTGACGAGAGGAAAGGGCAGGTGACTCAAGGGTCACTCAAGGTTCGAACAGAAACTTCTCACCTTGGGGACTCTTTGAAATCAAATTTTCTCTCACACGTCTGCAGAACGCAGCAGGCCTCAGATTCGCGGTGTTTCATTTAGTTTGTCCATTCTCAAGGACTCCGGGGAGACTGTTCTTATTCACAAGTTACGGCGGAGCACAAATGCTTAACCACTCACACAGTTAAATTGTTTCCGTATGTCTAAGACGCTTGCAACTCAGCCCTTAGAGCATTCGGAAATGGAAACTTGTACTGTTATGGAAGATTAGTAAATACTGTTTCACACACTTCTTCCCTTATATTCTTATTATAGCATTGCTACTAGGATGACAAAAATATCTAAAATAATAATATTGCCAAGAATGGGCATTTAATGATATTTGTCTTTAGTTATTCATGCAAGCTACTATGTTTCCAACTTTGATATAACTTAAATCAATTCCCTAACTTCTTTTATATTTCTCTTTTTTTATTTCTCTACCTTAATTCTTAAAGTTCTTGCATTTAATTCTATTCTCTACAAGTTATTCAGACTTTCTTGATGAAAATAAATATTGCTAGAGAGGATAAAATAATAGGCAACAGTACACTAATCACCATAATATTAAATTGTGACTCATGTTGATTGAAGATGATTCCTGCAATTTTGTTCAGAATTATTTGTTACAAATGACAAAAGCCCAGGAATGTAAGCAGGTACAGAAATTGATCGTTAAAAAATTCGCATAACTCTAAAGTGGGGAAGCTGGGAGTAGTGGATTCTGAAGGCACCTGTTAAATGACAGATGAGAAGATGTTTGCCCCAGCACGTAAAATGCCCTGAATGCCAGTAGCCCATGTAGGAGTGCTTGGCTCTGCGTCCTGGCTCCAGTTCTGATTTCAGACTCCGGCTAACACACACCCTCAGAGGAAACATATGATGCTTCAAGTGCTGGATTCCCACGACCAGGGGGTGAGAACCAGATGGCTATCTCAGCCCCCACTTGGGTCTGGCCCACTCCTGCGCGCTGTGGGCATGTGAGGTGTGAACTAGCAGATAGAAGCTATATCAATGTCCCTATCTCTCTGCTTTTCAAATCAATACCAAAGTGTTAAGAAGTTAAAACTTATATTTATTTAATTACTTTAAGTTTTTGATATTTTAAATTTACATAAAGTGAGTATGGTTCCCATTTTTTCACAAGACAGATTCAGAAGTATAAGGCTCTCCCCTCGGCCCCCTCCTCCAACCCTCTATTTGCCTCTTATTATTTTTCCAAATTGTTACACTACCATAAAAATAATTCATTTCACAGTAAAAAGTGTTACATAATTTTATTTTTTTGTTGTTGTTTTCCTCTACTGGCCACAACACGATAAAAGATAAATCTTTAAAAATATGAGTGGAAACAAAATTTTAAATAATGAAGTTTGTTTCAAACAGAATGATTTTCATTACTTCCATAAATGCAATTAATTGTTGCTGGCAATTAAAGGAAATAAATGAAATGAAACAAAAGGGAATGTTTTTATCATCATTTCAAAGGATATTTACTTCCAAAAACATCTAGGAGATTGAGATCAAGCAAACACAAATTTAGCTTTCTAAATGCTGGAGGAATGGAGTTTAACTCCAGAGTGTATCCATGTACCCCAGGCAGTTATTGAGTCTTCCATCATAGTCACTGAGGTGAATGGCTTGTACGTATTTGTGTCTGTGTATTTCTTTATATTTAAATTAATATTCATGTTTATACTGTATGTGCATGTTGTATATACTCATGTTCCTACTTATTATAACTAATATTTTATTTATGCTTGCATATAAATGTTTTATAAATTAAATGACCTTTTCTCACATGGAATTCAAAGAATACAATAATTCATTAAAGATGTGAAATAATGGAACATGCACCAGTGTTCTTTTCTGTTGAAAGTTTCTGGATTTACTATCTCTGTAATATTGACTAGCTTTTTTCATTTAAACAGTGCCACGTATCAGCTTTTCCTTATATGTAATCATTAGGAGGATTAAAATTTCCTGTTACATAATTTCAATAGAAACAAAGACAAAAATAGAAATTAATGAAAATAACAGTAGTTTCTTTAAAAAGATTTTATTTTTTTCCAGCCCACTTTATAGGCACTGC